TTCCTCCACGGCAATTTCATTTCACGCTTGAGTTTAAAATACGTTTCCGCCATTTTGTTTGTTTTGGGAAAATCATTAATTGTACTGCAGTATAATTACTGAAATAATTGTACTCCTCTCAACCAATCAGCATCCAGTAATTTTGTCATGCTAATAATCAATTCACAAATTAAGATATTGTGATCTAATAAGTCAATAATATTGTAATAGTAATAGTAATAATAATAATAATAATAAAAATTGCAGCGTGGCTGCAATTTTTTGTTATTGTGGTGTTCTATTCGTTGAACGTTTTACTTTCAGATGCACATTTCCGTCTAGTCTCCTATGCAGACCTACTTTAGCGGGTTTAGGCCCGCCACGTACGGTCTGCTTACTTTCGCTAGCAATTCGCTTTCTAGACCACAGGACGTTGACCTCTAACTTGTAATTTTGTGATCCTCAAAACGGCAGAACTCAAAAGCGCTACAAATACTGAGATAAAATCATATTATTACCGTTCAATAACATTCCCGCGTCTCTAGTTTGAGTATTTACTAAAATTTTACGGTTGAATGCGCCCTAACGAGGATTTTGGAAACGATAATTCACATCGCCCAAACGTGCGAAAATTGCTGATTCGTCAACTTTAGGGTGATCTAATTAAGCAATTTGTTCGCAAAAATGCACACGTGACATAAACATTTGCTCAAGTTTGAGTGCAGTTTGAGAAGGAAAGCCGTGTAAAATGGGATAAATTCATCGTATTTTCAACGTTTTTTCCATGTTCTTAATATTGCTAGCAATATTAGGCCTTTCAAAGAATCAAAACTGGCTAAATAGCTCTAATTTGACAATAGTTATGGCGGAAAATGCCAAGGGGAAAACCGCAGCTACAACTTCATTGAATTCAAATTCGTCGAATATTCGATGCTATGCTCATTTACAAAATGTTGTTGGCGACATTATACCTTTCAAAGACTCAACCTGGTCTACTTACTTACGTTGTGTTGGAATTTGGAAAGAACTGGTTGGAAATCAAGCTGAAATAGCAAGATGTTTTGTAAAAGACCATGGCAGTGATTCCTGTCTCGATGAAATAGCAATACCTGAGGATGGTGGGTATCATAGAAAGTGTTACAATTATTTTACGGATTCTTCCAAACAAGCACGAGCAGTAAAAAAGAAAGAGAAGGAGGACATGTCCTGTAAAGGTACCTGGTATTTAGCTATTTATAGTACTGTTGATTAAAAATGTTGTGTAGTATGTATATTCATATTATATTATATTGTTATTGTAGGGTATTATTGTATTATATTTTGCTATTTAACTTGTATAAGTTGGTCTAAATGTATAGTTTTAATACACAATCGCAGTTTTTTATATAAAAGTCTATAAACCTTTGGTGAAAGAATTCCAAAGCAACAGACATCTTCGAATAGTGATTATACACTGTTGTCCTTTGATCATAGTTTACTTTGCTCACAGAACTTTGCTAGTGTAACCCAGTTTCAACTTACTGTAAGTGTATTCAAATACTTATTTGTTTTACTTGTCTAACGCCAGACAATTTTGCTCGTCAATGGGGAAGTTCTGCAGCTTAATGGGTTAACCAAAAAATCTGACAATGTCTCTAGTTAACCCATTGTGCTGCAATGCGTCCCAGTCCGCCCTACTTATTTTTTTTACTTGACTAATACAAGAGGATTTTACTCGTCAATGGGGAAGCTCTGCAGCTTCATGGGTTAAACGTGATCTCTGCCTCCTCCAACCATAAATTTTCATTATGTCGTTGCTGTGGTTGGCTTAGATGCCTGTACTTGTTGCTATTACTGCAGTGCCTTTTTTAACAATATATCTGGGGGGGGGGG